TGCTTGGGATTTGGAGCCACATGTGCCTCAAGCCCTGTGAAAGCCGCAGCATTTCCAGAGGCAGAGGTCTCACATCTCTTGTCTGAGGTCCTGAGGATGGTCTCCAACCTGCCTGGCAGGGCTGTGCTCCCTCCCACATTGATTTCCCTCCCCGGCCTGTCCCACAGCTCCCTGAATGTGATTTTTTCCTTAACTCTAAAGATGAAGCTGCTGGAGTATATTTTTGTCCTTTATAGAGGCTGCAGTCACAGGAATCAGCTCCAGGTGCTTCCCCATCCCTAGCTGAGTAAACCTCATACCCCACACACGGACTGGAAGACCTTTTTCACTTTAAGCCAAGGTCAGTCTTGGGACAGGTTCAGCTTTTGCAAACAGCACCCTGAGTTACAAAGGGAAAGAAAAAACTGCTTCTGTGTTTCATACAAAGGCAAAAAACAAGTAAGCAGCCACAATACTCTATTATCAGGAGCATTTTTTTAAAATCCAATAAACCAGAAAAATTTCTGAGAGTAGCTGCTTTGATCTAAAGGCTCCCTAAAGGTTTTGAAGGACTATGAAGCTCTGCAGACTGGACAGCTGTGGACTTTCCTCAACTGGAGCAGCCCTGTGCCTTTCCCCATCGCTCTCCCCTTTGCCATTCCTTTCCAAAGCTGTTCCAGGTTTGCTAGAGCCGTGTTTTCACCTCCAAGGAAGAGAAATAAGCACAACAGTGAACCTTTGAGCAGCTGCTTATGACCTCTGCAAGGCTGCTGTGGGAGGCTGGGAGCCCTCATGCCCATGGAAATGGAAAGTTTCGGAGCACCAGAGATAGAGAGTCAAACCAGATTAGGGTTTTGAGCAGGGGGAGGAAAGCTGTACAGAATCGTAGGGGTTGGAAAGGACCTTTAAGATGATCAATTCCAACCATGAATCCAACACTACCAATCCTACCTCTAACCCATGTCCCTCAGCACCTCATCTGCCCGTCTGCTAAATCCCACCATGGATGGGGACCCCACCCCCTCCCTGGGCAGCCTGTTCCAATGCCTGACTGCCCTTTGGGTGAAGAAGTTTTTCCTCAGATCCAACCTAAACCTCTCCTGGTGCAACTTGAGGCCATTTCCTCTTGTCCTGTCCCTTGGGCCTTGGTTGGACAGACCCACCGCCACCTCTCTCCACCCTCCTCCAAGGGACTTGCACAGAGCCACAAGGTCTCCCCTCAGCCTCCTTTTCTCCAGGCTCAACACCCCCAGTTCCCTCAGCCACAAGGGAACTCAGCACACTTGTGCTCCAGACCCTTCCCCAGCTCCGTTCCCTTCTCTGGACACGTTCCAGCACCTCAACATCTTTCCTGTAGTGAGGAACCAGTCAACCTGAACTGCACAACAGTAACGAAGGAGAAGGAGCTTTCCACAGATGATCTCTGGGCAGATGCCCATCAAGGACTGTTTTGCCAAGAGGCTCCTCAGAGGCTTTTGCTGGGCAAGCAGGTGCCACTTGCACCAGGCTGCAGCAGCATTTTATGTTTCACTGCTGTGATCCATGCACAGAAGGTCAGGTTGCTCCTGCACTCGGCTCAGAGGGAAGCAGAAGCAGCAAGGAAGAGCAGCTGTAACTAGGGAGGAGATGTTGTGGATGTTTCTCATGGGTGGCTGTGCCTGCTGCAGGAGTTCCAGTGAGGACATGTGTGATAGGATGGGGCAGAGCACAGCAGCCAAGGAGCCGTCAGCACCCAGGATGGTGGGTCCACATCTACCCAGGTGACTGCATCTTTTCTAACCCCCAGGCAGACTCCTACATTTACAGATCCCACACCCACCAGCACCACCCTGTCCAGACCAGCAGCCTCATTCCACCCCCAGAGCACTTCTGCCTCCCCAACAGTACTCAACTTCAGTACCACAGGGCTGGTTCTGGAGTGGTTTATTATCATCCCCACCCTTCAGGAGGTCAGAGCAGCTGAAAGACCCAACACCAGAGCTCAGCCAAGAATCTTGGACACACACTGACAACCCGACACGTAGCCAGGGGGTGGGAACAGATGTGAAGGAGCTCCTGCCTCAGGCCAAAGACAGATGGTATTGTCCTTCAGATATCAAGATCTAACAACATCACTCGTGCATAGAACTTGCTGGGTGTGTGGCCAGTTTGAACAGACAGACCTAAGTTACCTATGCCACCTCCTCTTGTAGGGCAGCTGGAGCCGTCCAGGCCATGTCCCTTCAGGGAGCAGTCACAGGAACCCCCATCCATGGGATCCACAGCCCCAAGCTCCCTCAGAGACCACCACAAGAGCCAGAGGCAGCAGGACTAGGACAGGCCATGGCAGAGCACACACAGCTTTGTCTGTCTCTGGAGTCACATTCTCAGTCCAAGCAGCAGAGGATCTCTTTTTCCAAGCGTAGTACTTGGCCACAACCACGTTGGGGTTTCCCTGGGCAGGGTCAAACCACATCTGGATGCAGCGCCCGCTGCCCCGGCGCTCTGTGGTGTATTTGTAGGAGTTGGACCAGATTTTCTCACACAGGTCTTTTGGTCGGGGGAAGACGTGGCTGAAGGGTCTGCACATGGAGCCCCAAGGACAGCGGTTCGTTCCTGAGGACAGACAGCACCAGAAAACCACATCAGCTACCACACTTCACTTACGTCCTTTCTCCTGGGAGGAACAGGCCACCTGCCCACAGCCCATCACCACATCTTAGCTGAGGGCTGGTGGCTTGGCCACCTTCCAGTCAGCAACCCCATAGACAGGCAAGAGCAATGAGGGGTCTTGGCTCCAGCCACCATGCAGGCAACAGCGACGCTGCCAGGGGCTTGTCTGCAGGGGTGAGGAGAAGGTTGCTCCACACAGCCCACCAACCTGTTGCCCAGTTCCAGCCCTTGTGCCAGTTCTCCTTGCATGTGAGAGAGTCCTTGCAGTCCTCCCACCACTCCTCGCAGTCCTCTTTGCAGAGTGGCACATGAAGAACCCTCTCCCGACGCCAGCTGCTGTCAACCTGCAAGGGAACAGGACCATGCACGCTGGTGGTGGCCCTTGAAAGCTCAGGGGCAGGATCTGCCATATCCCAGAGCCCACCCAACCCCTTCCATTGGGCTCCAGAGCTGATCTCAGAAGAGTTTTAGCCCCAGCAGAAACACACCTTGCAAGAAGCAGTTCCTCCATCAGCCTGTCTGATGGTTAGCAAAGTTCTTTGAATCTTTCCACCCAGTGGGAAAGTTTGCAGTGTCCCTGGAGAGCACAATCCCATACGTGCCAGGGGTATGCCATATGGGGGACCAGCATTTGATGTGGCCAGCACAAGCCCTGTAGTCTCAATCCCAGCAGATCTGATCCTACCTGGTCAATCCAGGGCCCCAGGTTGGGTGAACATTCATACAAGCACGTGTCCTGGATGAAGTGGCGTTTGCACTTGGATGGCATCAGCCCACAATGGTTCCAGTTGAAGTTGTACAGGTTGGATTGGTCCTTGTGGGCTTCTGAACTGGTGTTGGCTGTGCAGCAGGCATTGTCCTTCCAGGGAGAACACTGCAACGGAGCAAGAGACATGCTGGGCAGGCAGCAGCTTGAGGGAGTCAGAGGATGCTGCTCCCTGCACAGCCTACAGCAAAAAAATCTTCAGCAGCAAGAACCTCCCCTCCAGCAAACCCTCAGGCACTTTGGGCTGAAGACTTCAGGGCTGCAGCAAGATGGAGCTGGAGGGAAAACAGGAGGAGGACTTCAAAGGTCTCAGATCCTCACCAGGAATTAGTGTCAGCCTAAGGAACAGGAACAAACTCCACTTTCTTGCACCCAGGCTTGCTCTTAGCCCCATCCCCACCAAGGACCTGGGGGCAGAGCTCTTCAGTCAGCAATAAGAGGCTCCAACACAGAGAGAGAGCAGAAAAGAGTGTCTCTCCTTGACATCCTTTACCTTGCTCTGATCTTGGGTACCAAAGCTTTGGGGAGGGGAAGCCTCCTGGTGAAAGAAGGGTAACACTGAGCAGACAGAAATCCTCACACCACCACACCTGCCCTTGCCATTTGCTAGAAGAAAACAGCAGACAGGCCTCATACCCATCACCAGCTTCCTTCCTTGGGTAAGTAGTTGTAAGCCCAAAGCAGCCTGTATCATCACAAACTCTCATGAGGAGCAGCTGAGGGAACTGGGGGTGTTGAGCCTGGAGAAAAGGAGGCTGAGGGGAGACCTTGTGGCTCTGTGCAAGTCCCTTGGAGGAGGGTGGAGAGAGGTGGGGGTGGGTCTGTTCAACCAAGGACCAAGGGCCAGGACAAGAGGAAATGGGCTCCAGTTGTGGCCAGGGCAGTTGAGATGGGATGTGAGGAAGAATTTCTTTGCTGAAAGGGTTCTGAGGCATTGGAAGGGGTTGCCCAGGGCAGCGGTGGAGTCCCCATCCCTGGAGGGATTGAAGAGTGGTGTAGACACAGTGCTGAGGGACATGGGTTAGTTGGGGACTGGTCAGTGTTGGGTTCATGATGGGACTCAATCATCTTAAAGGGCTTTTCCAATCCAGGCAGTTCTGGGATCCTGTGAACTGGGGAGGTGGGTACACAGGACCCCAGCAGCCCCACCGAAGCCACCAGCAGAGTTGTACCTGGCCATACAGCGTCCCTTCTGGGCCAGGCTCCGTTTTGTGGTGTTTGGCGTCCATACAGATGTTCAGCAACAAGTCCTTCGCCGGTACCACCACACAGGCAGCCGACAGCAGAAGCAGCACCTGCCCCACTCCCATCCCCACAGCAAGCCTGGTCGGATCAGGGAGCTGGGAAGTCACCAAGCTG